CGGCGCTGCCGCCGACGCAGCGCCGACTCCCGCGACGGCTGCCGCCGCCGACGCCGCCGCGGCAGCGCCTGAGGCGTTGTTTGTGCAATTGTGTACGGAAACGGATGTAGTCGATACGGATGAGTCTGGAGAGCCCACCACGATGGCTCCCACGTCCGCGAGGATCTGCAAGCACAAGGCGTATGTATGTATGTATGTATGTATGTATGTATGTATGTATGTATGTATGTATGTATGTATGTATGTATGCAGACAGGCAGGCAGGCATGTACGTATGTATGTATCCAGACGATGGAAATGACACGTGTGTAACTGTGTCCAAAGTGTGATGTGTTTGTGCGTGTGGGGGAAGAGCCGGGGTGAGGGCGGCTTTGGGGGGCTGTGGGGACTGTAGGAGGAGTAATAAGGCCCACACATTACAACAGGACATGGCACAACAAGCCTGCGTGCTTGTCGTTCATTGCCGTACTTATGTTAACACTGTTCCTGCAAGGCGGGAATGACGTCATGTCGTACCCACCTGCGTCCGTCCGACACCGTCACCGCTGGCGGCGACGGCCGCAGTGGCGGCAGCAGTGGCGGCCCCGGCGGCGGCTCCGCCGGATGCCTCCCCGCTGCCGCCGCCGCCGGCAGCGGCGGGGGTGGCGGCAGTTCGCTGGGGCGACGGCGGCGGCAGGCAGGGCGTGACAGAGGAGTCCCGCAGCGGCCGAATGTGGTACGTGTACGTCTGTGTGACGACGACGACGGCAGCGGCGGCGGCGGCCACAAAACCGTGTACGGCAGCAGCAGCAGCAGCGATGTCCAGCGGTTAGACGAAGTAGTTATGGAAGTTGCACATGCAGGTCGGTACATCAAGCGATGGCCAGCAGAGAGCGCTCATAATGATAATGATGAGAAAACATGCGCAAATGCACACACACACACACACGCGCGCGCGCGCGCAAGTATAATAGTACATAGACAGACGGACGGACGGACACACGGCTCCTCTTACCTGTACGATATTGGGATGTGCCAGGGAAGAGCTGATGGCTGCCTCCATCACCGCCATCTTCTCCCTCTTCTCCTTGCCGCTCATGTTCGCGGGCAGGACGATGGTCTTGATGGCCACCTCCGTGCCGCGCCACAAACCTGCGCAGTGGTTTGGCGGTGTGAGTGCAGATGTGGGCCGGAAGAGGACCAGGAAAAGAGGCCGAGGCCGTGCACGATGGCGGCCAGAGAAGAAGAAAAGATATTCTATTAAAAAATAAACATTCAACAACAAAAATTTAATATAAAATAAAAAGGAGATTATTACGCCGCGAAACCAAAAACAATAAAAAGGAGGGAACAGAAGACGAAATCTGCAAGTTTCCCTTTACGAAAGCCCAAGTCCATGCCCCCACTTCGCCACACCTTCTAACCCCCCTCCCCCATCCATCATACTACTTACCCACTTAACATGGACTCACCTTTGTACACCTTGCCAAAAGTGCCCTCCCCCAACATCTCCTGTATAGTGACCTGTATTGCAATACAACACCCCCCCCCGCCCCGGCCAAAGTGAACAGAGCAGCGAGACAGCACCGTCATGAGCCCGGCAGGGGAAGGAATAAATACACGCACAAGGCGAAAGTTTTGTCAAAGCTGCCGACGTTCAAAAAAGCGCAGGAAAGGAGGCGGCTATATGCATTATGAAGGGGGGAAAGGAGGATGGCGGAGAGCTCCGTGATATGCGGATTGCGGAAGGAGGGACGGGAGATACAGTCCCACGGGACACAAAAAAAAGGGTCGACGTGTGGATATGATAGTGGAGACGGGCGTGAGAAAATGTTTATCAACTTTTCAATTTATTATTCAATTACTCACGAGGGGATTATCCCGTGTGGAAAACACACAACATGCTGTTAATGCCTACATTGTTGGTTCCTTAGGCCGTCGTACATCGCCACACGCCTCTGTTTGTCAAAACATGTATACATACATACGTACATGCACACGAATGCCGCACAAAAGCACACATGCAAGCAAATACTCCTACACACACACACACGCACACGCACCTGCTCGGCCTCCCCCAGCTGCTCCCGCCGCAAGCTGGTCCCAGTCAGCAACATCTTCTGTCGCAGGATGTCGATACGGGAACGCGCGCCGTCGCCGCTGGCCGCGGCACCCCCCCCCCCTGCGCCCTGCAGCGACCCCGCCAGGCCCCCCGCACCTCCCTCCAACAGATCGATCAGGTCGAAGTGACGCGCGAGGAGAGCCTGCGGACCCACCGCCACCACCACCACCACCACCACCACCACAACAACAACAACAACCGCACAACAGTGCAATGACCCGCAGTTGGTCCCGCGAGATGTCATGCGGCGGCAAGGAGGGAAGGGGAAGGAGGGAAGGTTAGGGAAAGGGTAAGGAAAGGGGTGAGAGACGCACACACACACGCGCGCGTGCGGGGGACAGCGAAGGCAAGAGGGGGGGAATCACGTGCGCCATTCAGAGGCGAGAGAGACACAAGAGAAAGGGAGAACGGGGGGATAGGGACGGAAGGCAAAGCTTAATGCGCGATGGAATGCGACCACAGGGATGGTGGAAAGGATAAGAAGGGTTCGCAGGCGTGGGAAAGAGCAGTCAGCACCGAAACATACAAAACAAAAGAACCCGGTCTCCTGTGTTGTTTACATACATACAGACGCACACACCTGCATGCGGTTCTTCTCATCCTCCAAAATACGAGTAGTGCTTGCCAGCTTACCCGCAGCTTCCTGTGGGGCAGGTAAAAGGTCGGGCGGGAACATGTGCAGGAGAAGAAACAAGGAATTAAACGCCGTCAGGGGGAGGGGGAAAGGAGGGAGCTGGAGTCACATGCATGCAAGAAGCAAGGGAGGGTCAACTGCCCAGGGGAGGTGGGACATCATACAATATTACATGCAATTGCAGACAAAACGCTATATATCAGCTGTCGTTGCCCAAGATTGTTTATTACAAGCGTGTCGGGAAAAAGACGTACTGTGTATTTTCCCAAAAGAAAACAGAGCCGTACACAGTGAACTGAACTCCCCAGCTGCCCTTGAAGGGCAAACATCAAAATACACAAAACAACAAAATCAACCTGGTGCTAAACTCCCTGCCGGCCTCCTGGATCTCTATGCCTCTGACCCCGTCCTGCCGCTCCCCCTGCGTGCTCACCACCACGTCGCGCAACAGCCGCCGCTGCTGCACCCGCGACACCAGTACGGCAAACACAAGCAGCGACAACACAAAGGACAAGATGACCACCTGCGGGGGAGAACCGCAGTGAGGGGGAAGCGGCGGGGAGGTGGGGCAGGGAGAGGTTCAGGGTTTTGTGGGGTGTATTTCTATCTCTTGACATAAACTGGAATGTTACTTTTTGGGTATGGCATTTGGGTACGGAAGGAAGCGAGGAAGATGGGTCGCCAACTTCCCAGGAGCACGCACATACATACTTACATGCACACACACACGCACACAAACACCTTTGCCCGCCACACAATCCTTTCCCCCAAACCCGCACGGGACACGACCCACCATCGCAATCAGCGGCGCCTTCCATGACGGCACCCATCCTCCTGTACGACTGACGTACAACGTCCACTCCACGTTGGGTAGCGGCACCTTGACAATCACCGGGTCTTGCAGGGCCTGCAAGAGCGGAGCACCATAGCCTTAAAGTAGGCATCAAAAGGATTAAGGGGCTAAACCACTTCCCTCCTTCATTCGCACTCGCACTCGCATTCACACTTGCATTCACATTCGCACTCGCATTCACGCGGGCACTAGCATTCCCACTCTCGTACTCGCATTCGCTCTCGGATTCACATTCGCATCCGTACGGTCGAGCTACCGAGCAACTCCACAGCGCGGGTGTGCCTATCCCTTCCCCCCCAAGAAAGCAAAAGAAGCTTCCAATGAATACAGGGGTGCGTCCAGAAGAAGATACCTTAGGGTACTTCCTAAAAACACTCCTCCCTGCCCTTTCCTCCCCATCCTCATCCTCTTCACAACAGGCCAATATCCCACCCTCGCTAACATCCCCGAGCTCCCCTCCCCCTTTGCTCACGCTGGGCAGGTCATAGTAGATGAGGGGTCGCGACCCAGACGACGAGACGTTGAATCCGGGGGGTCGTGGCGGGTCGATGCCGGGGGACCAATCCACCGCCAAGTTGGTGTTGTTCTTATCCGGACGCGTCAGCACGTAGTCGTAACCCTGAAGCAGGAGATGTGGTGAGAGAGAGCGCGCGCGCGTGTGTGCGTGGATAATAGGGTCTTTTAGGGGTGGAAAACGGTTTTTTGAAGGGCTTTTTTTGAAAGGGATATGTAGTTTATGAGCTTGTCAGGGTACCTTGGTGTCCTGTAGCGCCCTCTGCGTAATTCTTAATAGCATAGCTGACCGCAAACGAATAACTGTAAACCGTAACCGAATAACTAACCGTTGAACATATATAACCATCAACTAACCGTTGAACATATATCAGACGCACGCGCGGGACAAGTAAAAGTCAGAAATACTACGGACTCCTCTCGTCAACAGCTCCTCAACGAATCCGACAGCAAATCATCATCATCATCATCATCATCATCATCATCATCATCATCACAATCCCCAAGATCATCATCATCATCATCATTTCGACTCCCCGGAAATCGTACGCTCCTTCATGTCGTACCAATCGACCCCAACCCAACCCACAGTTCCCACTTCCGATTTTCCATGTCGTGCTTATGAGCTGCAAAGTCCAAAGAGATTGTTTTTTCTCCATTTACAATGAAGAGGAGGAGTGCCCTTCCGTTTATTGTGTACTGTTCCACGTGTGGAGCAGTATACAATAAAGAGGAGGGCTGGCATGCACTCAAGAGGAGGCCCCTCGGTTTAATGACCTGACCCTCTTCCTTGCCCCCGGGCCGCTCTTCCCCCTGCAGCCCGGCTGCAGCCCCACCTGCGCTGATAAGTCCTGCAGGTTCGTGACGTTGTCTCTCAGAAAGTCCCAGCTCAGCAGCACGGTAACTAGCCCTGTGGGAGGGCGCGGGGGAAAGACGAACCACACACGCGGGGGAGGGGAGCGACCAGCAAGATGTGTGTTTTGTGTGTTGTGCGTGTGTGTGCGCGCGGGGGGAAAGACGAACCATGCGCGAATCAAGCTGCTGCCAAGGAAAGACCGCTGCGGCGGCGGATGTGAAGAAAGCATAATTAACCAGTCGGCGGTTGTGAAGAAGAAGTCCTCGGGGGGTGAAGAAGGGCCGGGGAAACCATGTGCAAAAAGAAACAAAAGAATTAACCGCAAGTGAGGCGGGAGGGGAGGTTGTAAACTTAGGCGACGGTGGCGGTGATGGCGGTGGTGATAGTGGTGGTGGTGATGGTTGTGGTAGAGGTGCTTTTATGGTGGCGCTTTTAACTCATATCTTTTCTGAATACATGGATTTTTCCACACCGTGAGCTTGTCCGAGGGGACCCCCGCCCTCTGTACTCGCGCAGCGCAGCACGGCAAAATGATGGCATGTTAATAACGCCTTTGCTACCATTAGCTGGTGTGTGTGTGTGTGATTTTAGTGCTCCGGAGCTAGTGCTCCGAAACCGTGTACGTCTCCTTTCATTCATGTCCTCTGTAGATTGCCTGTCCCATACACCGCGTTTCCAAGAACTCGTTCTATCAATTCACTGTCGCGGGTATTGCCTACCGCGTGAACTCCCAAAGAATTCACAGCATTTGCCTAATCTTTGCCCTTCACTGCCAGCGACGTCTTCGCCACCTTGGTGTGGTGTGTGCCTTTCTTCGCCAATACTACCCCTACCCCCCCCCACACACACACAAAAGCAGGCTCACAGTGCGCGTGCATGCGGCCCTCGTCCTGCTCAGCATATCACACACACACACACACACACACACCTCAAACCCACCCACCCACTTTTTCCCACGTCCTCCCACTACCCAGTAACCCCAACCCCCCAAAACCCAATACCCCACACTCGTAGCATACATGAAGTACACTCACCCCAAAATCGCGGGGCATTCCCGTTCGACGGCTGCCACGTCAGATCCAGCATTCCCGGGATGGAGGACGTGGGCCCGGTGGCGTTGTTGGGGCCTTAAACGTGTGTGTGTAAACGGAAGATGTACGTCGGGGCAGTACGAAGGGGGCAGGAGGGGAAGGAGATCAGGATTGCACGGCACTACTGTACGGCAGAAGAGGGATGGAAGGGAAAGATGAGGGCCCCGGCCCCGCCGACACGGGGAGATTGGGGAGGGACGACGAAAAAGTGAACACCACCAACCCGGGCGCCACACCCCATATGAACCACATGCGCGGAATGCGCGATCTTAAAAAATGGGTGCTCTTGGACTAAACTGTCAAGGGGTGATGGAAGGCGGGAAAGAACTCTTGACCCAAGGCTGATATGTCCTTCGAGTGTAAAATTTTGGCAGCCCAAGTAACAGTAGCGACTCGTGCATATATGCATATGCGGGACCGCCAGGATGAGGAATACCCGACGTAACGGCAAGAAAAAATGTGTTGTACAACACAACATGCCCGTACATTCGTACGGAGTTGTCGTACTAGACCGTACCTGGGGGGATGCCAAAGGTGTCCTCGCGGGTGGCGTTGACAAAGATAGATTGCATGCCCACAATGCCGATGCCTCCTTGAACCAAGTTGTACGGCCCAATGATGGTCAAATTGTCTGTGTGCAGCAGGGAAAAAAGGAGTACTATTTATTATACGGATACTATTTAAGTGCTCTTAAACAGAGCGGCATATTTATTTATAAAGTTTTGCCAAAGGCTTCATCTGCCACACACTTTTCCAAAATTGCCCACAAAATAAACCCCAAAGCTGCTGCACTTAGTGTAATCCCTCCCGGTGTTGCCCAGTACCAGCAAGGATGTACGGTAAAATTGTACATCGTAAGAATCTTATTGAGATGGTCGAATATCGTACGTGACTTACGTGATTGCAATGAGACTTTGACTGGCGCCGCGTTGACCGAATCGTTGAGCCAGTTCTTCCCAATGGCGCCCCAATTCCTGTCGTGCGCCAGTTCCGTACCGTTCAGCGGGTACATTGTACGGATGACGCCGTGTGGGATGGCCGATACAGTACGAACGGAGCCAGCCTGTAGTACGATAACGGCGGCAGATCAACAGATCACACCTATACACGCGAACCGCGCGGGTTGCGCAGAGCATGACTAGCCAAAAGAAAAACACCCTCTGGTGGCTTCGGTAAAACACGGTGACTTCGTTAGGCCATGGCAAGCTAATGAAGGAAAACCATACTAAGTGGCTACAACAAAAAGGTGGTCTAATATAGCTTTTACAGAAACCATCGTGCTATCCCACAAACCCTCACACCGCGCCCCTGTTTCCGGACGGCTTGCCGTATTGTGCATCGTACAAATTACGTTCCGTACCTTGGTCAAAGCAATAAGGTCGCCCGCCAGCTTATCAAATTTTTTGTTGACCAGGTACCACTGGTTTTTATACACTTGATTTAGGTTCGCCGGTTGGGTCGGGTAGTAATTGGGATCCTGCGGTTAGCCGACCAGCCAGCCAACCACCAACCACCGGGAATAACGGTGAGGGGTCGCAACGGCGGGGTACAGGGGAAGGGCAAGGGGTTGCCGGTAAGAGCAGCAGCAGGGGACGGCGAGGGTGGTGCGGGAGGGTGGATAACCACGCACTAACACACGGTTTTACGCGGACATCGACCCAGGTGCCATCCTCGCCATTCCCGTCTTGCAGCAGTCCAATCCTTTGGACAAAAAAACCAGACTTGGAGACAACGACTCTCTAGAATGCGCTCTCTGTTTCAGCCCAGGGCCCGACATGAGCCCTTAACGTCGTCTCCTAACAGACCTACTTGTTGTACGGCAGTCGCCACCACGTACGCCGGCATGAAGGTTTTGTCGAGCTCTGTTTGAATGTACAGCGCCTTGTCAGTGGCGATCTGCAAAGGAGCACGCAAGGAGGTGAGCTGAGGTGAGCTGAGCTTTTGCGGGACAAGGAAGGGACAAGAAAAGTCGCCGAGACTGCTACCTAAAGACCTAAAGGCCAATAATTTCGCTCGGAAACGGAAAAAAAAGGGGAGAGAAGGAGAACCGAAATGTCGCATCAGAAGACACGATTAACAATAGACATGGATGCGAAGCAATCAGGCTGCGGCTGCAACCGAAGCGGCCACCCGCGTCACGTCGAAATATCTCAGGATGGGTATACGGCAGTACGGCAGGGAGGAAAGAAAGCGGCCGCGCATGTGGTGTGCCCAATCCGAACCGCCCATCCAGCCAGGCACCCCTTCACCCATCCAACCTCCCCACCCATCCAACCTACCCCACAAACACAGCTACGCACGCCAAAAGTAGCCGGACAGCCCATCACCGGTATCCCCTCTCCCTTCCAGGGCCTTCCCTTTCACCAACCGACCGATTGGTTCTTACCCCAAATTTCCCCCCATGAACTTCCCTTACCCCTGCTGGACCCCAACCCATCTCCTGAACCCGCATTCCCACGCGCAAGGAGAACCCCTCCACGCCCAGATCCAACAAAAGCCACAACAAAGGTCGTACCTATCCAACCCCGCTAGCAGCTCCCAATGTAATCCCAAACCCCGCCTCAAAGCGTGCATTCGGAAGCCTTAATTCCCCAGTCAATCCCCAGTCGATTTCCCTTTCCGCTGCAAAACCCCGGCAAAAACCCGGCAACGAATTTTAAAGGTTTGCTTACCTTGGTAGCCGAGTCATGTCTGAACCTCTCTTCCGCACTCGACGCGGCAATGAGCGCCCACAGCCCCAGTCCCAGCACAATGGCCAACACCGCAATGCCAGGCAGCAACACCAGCGGCTTCGTATGAACCACTTCTATTACTTTCTGTAGGTTGAAAGGGGTTGGGGTGATTAATGTTTGGATGTTGCGAAAGGGAAACAAATATGACGATGGAATAACTTGACTTGCAGAGGTAAATACGGTATATCGGCCGGGGTGCGGGGTAAGGTTGCGACAGCTAATACCGGTATCGTGGTGATGGAGTGACGCGAAAGAAGGCATATCGGACTTTTGTAATGCTACAGCCCCTTGCGCGAGCCTTTTCCCTAGGTCCTTGCACGTTTCTCCAACCTGACCCCAGACAAGGCCTTGGACGGCATAAAGGTAGGTCCAGGGACTCGACTTAAGCTTAATTATATGTCCAAATCATATACATGCATTAAAACCTTGCATGAGGTAACTAACCTTGAACTCCAGAATGACGCTGTGAGCGCATGCACGCCACCTTTTTCGGGAGCAGACCGTCGCGCCTTTCGTACCCGAGCCATCTGTGCTACGGATCCTCCCGCAACAGCTAGAAGTGGAATCTGACACGCCCGAGTTCTTAATGCCTGCTGCAACCTGCCATTCCGGCGGCAGCTCAGGAACTACTGACTGCTGCCGCGAATTTAGCGGACTGCAGTTTGTCGGCGTCCGCTTTGATACTTTAGACTCAGTATTTGCCAACTTAAATGAGCCCTTCTCGATGTCGTGTTCAGGCAAACGTTGGTTTGCACTTGGGCGACTTCGCGCGCCGCTAGCTGACTCCAACGGGAGAACGGCGATATTCCTCATGGCGGACGGGCGGGCAACCTTTTGATCGCTGGTCGGGTTGCTGTTTGTATAGGTCCGCTGTGAATCTTCGAGCGACACAGCGCCGGTACCTTGCCCCGGCCCAGACTGCGGCGATGCTGTTTCCCCGATGTTGCTAGCAGCGGTCGCAATAGCCCAACCTGGAACTGCGATGGAGGACTGCGCGACACTGGCAGCGGCCGTGGGGCCGCTGTCTGCCATTTCTGACGTGACGTTACGTCTTACGAGTCTATCCACAAAAATATAGGCTCCTTATTCGAGAAGAAAAGAAACCTAGGCTCCAGGGCTTCCAGGTGAAATGCTCAGACACGTATACCTGGCTACTTCGTGAGAGAAAAAGCATGATATGCTAGGTTTTCTTCCAATATACGGAACATACGAATAAAGCTGAAAATAAGATACAAACTAAATAAGGTTAGGCCGAGTTTCGGTTGTTACCCCATGGATTTCTGAATCACAGGCACGGACGGTTACGTTTCCCGTACACCAAACAAGCCTCCAATCACTCCATGTTTGGATTGCGATCTAACACCTCGCAGACAACGGTTGTCCGTAGGGAAATGGTAAAAATCTGCTTGTCGTAGGGCATGTCGTGACGGCCATGCCAGCGCTCAACGGCACCGTGTACCTGGCCACTTGTATCTTTTCAGATAACGGGGGATTATGATTTCATCCATTAAATTGTTAGAAAGCTGCACAGTAGTGATCGTGTAAGTGACCTTGCTGATCACCATTGAGCACTGTTAACACTCCGCTGACATAGGTAGGCTGCATTTCGGGCCGTTGATCCGAATGGGGATTATACAAAATCTTAGCCTGATAACACGAAATCTCGCAATTTGACTTGTCCTCCCCCCTAATCTTCAACTCAAGGCTGGGTCCGTTGCTACTCGCTTCTTCTCCTCTAAACTGCACGACGGACGTTTCTGCAAGGACTTGATCAGCTTCGCAAGACCGAGCGCTGCAGAAGCGTTCCCATTCTGAGTCATTGTATCTATGCAAGCTGGATGCGGCTTCTGCTGCTCTCCTGACGCCGGCCTGCCAGCTCAGATAGCCTTACTGTCTGATCTTTAACAGGAAAAAGACCTGCCTTGCCTTGGATCAGCACATACTAGGAGCGATAGCAGCTTCCCCACTTCCTACCGTCATCGCCGTGTGTCACCAAGGGTAGCTCCAGCTACTGCTGCTGCCCAACTCATCCCCCATCTAGTAACCCCATACTGCAACGTGAAAGTAAAGCAAACCTTTGTCTCGCCAGCATCCCTACGCCATGCTGCACGAAACGCAACTCCGTGGCGCGGGTGCGGAAGCTGAAAGCACGGACAACAATGCCACCGCCAGCACGTCTGCCATCGGGGCTTACGCTTGGAATGATCCCCAAGGCGCCCCGGATCCTGACCCCACGACCGCCACCAGCTATTCTTCTGGCGGCGGCTATGGCTACAACTACGGCCCAGGCCAGGAGCCCTCTGCTGGCGACGGCTATGGCTACAGCAATGGCAATGCCTATGCCGGAGCCAGTGCTGAGGGCATCACCAGTGACGGTGCCGTCACCGGAGATGGCAGGGCGTCAGCGAACAATGGGCGGGACCAGGGTGTTGACAGCGTTGAAGGGGCCGATGGCGGCGACACCGCCGAGGTGGCGGCCACCACTGCCGCTGACGCGTCAGCTTATTCATGGCCAGCCGATCCGGAAGGCATGCTGACATTGCTGCAGCAGCAGCGACAGCAGTATCGCTCCTGGGTAGCCCAGTGTGCGTCGACGGCGCTGGCTGCGCTGGACCCGTCACACAGCAGAACAGGGTCCTACGCAGCGTCATACCCCGGCGGTGGCGGTGGTGCTTCGCCCGGGGTCGCCGGACCCTTCCCCGATGGGGCAATCCCTGACGACGTGTTGGGCCTGGTTGAGGCGATGGACGTGGCAGGGACTGTGCGGCAGTATATGTTATCGCTCAAGGTATGCTTCTGTTTATGCGGGATACGTTTATGGGAGGTGTAGCGTTTGTAAGGGTGCGGGATGCGGCCGGGGCGGGCAAGGGGGTGGGGTAGTCATCAGGGTCAAGAGAGACCATTGCCGATGTGCGGGGGAAAAGGGTGTTGGGGCTTAGGGTTTAGTAAGGCAACGGAACCCGGATGGTGCTCTTGGGAAAATTTGTTTATGCTAAGGCTCTTATTTGGGATTTTATTTGTTTTCATGTATATACTTTAGATTTATATTTTTATGAAGAAAAGCCCTTTGTGGTACATACTAGCCTGCTCTTCAAGTTGTCTTCGCCTCCCACCCATTCCTGCAAAGTCACTACAAAGCTCGCAGACAAGCACCCGAACCGAGGAACACGATTCAAATTATTTACAATTAAATAGAGGGGGAAAGCAAAGACGAGCAAACAGGCAAACAACCAACAGTCACATGGCTGCACTGCAGGCGGCTGCGGAGTCTGTTCGCAATGCTGCCCGCGCGGGGGCCAATTTTGAGGCGCTTTCGCTGCCGGTTTCGGAGGCGTACGACGATCCATCTGACCCGGCCGCTGTGGAGGCTGAGGGCCGCGCAGAGGCGGAATTTGTCAGTGCGGCGTACGGCGTCACGTCGGCAATTGCAACGGCGCGTGCCCACCTGCATCAGCTGAAGCAGCTGGAGGCAGATCCGGCAGCAGCGCTGGTGCAGGTGATGTAGGAGCGGGTTGGGGGTTTCAAGGAAACGGAATTTATTAATTATGGCTTGTGCGTGTGTGGCTCGACCAGCCGAGTGGCCCCTTAAGAGCAAGCAGATGTTTTTAAGAACTTTGTATTTACAGAGCTATTGTCGGGAGAAAAAGGAACCGTCTTTACAATCGCAAGGAGAACGGAAAGGGGGGAGGGGATTTTATGCAAGGAAGCCAGAAGCGAACTGCCGGCGTCCAAAGGGGGCCCGGAGATGTGTGTGTGTGTGTGGATCGCGGGTCTCGAGAAAATGGGGGATGTCCGATTTGGAATGAAGGATGAGATTATGCACTCCGGCATCTGCTGCTGTACTTATGAACCGTACCCATATTGAACAACGCGCTACAGGAGGTGTTGAGCCAGCGGCAGGCGCCTGCGGAGGGTGGTGCGGGTCTCGCGGCCGACGCAGAGGGGGGCCCAGTGGCGCAATCCGCGGCGGCGGTGGGGAGCAGCGAGCAGCTGGTGGCTCCGTTGGAATCGAAACTGGAGCGCGTCGGAGCGGGCCTGTGTCACCGCCTGCGCCAGGTGCGACCGACCACTGCACGGCCTCCGCCTCTGCACATGCAAATGCAATGAGTGCCTATCCTGTGCGTCTGGGTCGTACCTTGAGTTATCTCCCGAGGGGTCAGGGTTTTTCACCCCCCCCCCCCAGTGGCGTGCGTCTTTTCTTTCCGGAGGGTCGTCCTCTCTCCGCCCTCCTCATTCACACACCCACTTATAACAAGACCAAAATCGGTTTACGCACGCATCTCGCCCCTTCATGAAAACCACACACAACCAAACCCAATCGATCGAATGAATGGACCCTCAAGAAATTCCAACCCTCAGAACAGTCAACCTCGGAACTCCCCACCGCAGGAGGCGGAGGGGCTTATGCCGAAAATCCAGTGGCCCCCACCACTGGCTGATGGAGGAGGAATGGAAGGGGGTAGAGGAGTCGGTTCTGCCGCCCCTGGAGTGGCTGGGCCGGGCTCGGGTGCGGAGGGGACTCTCAGGTCAACGGGGGCCCCAGCGTTGGGCTCCTCCGGCTCCTCCGAGGATGCGCTGTTCCGGGGTTTCGAACAGCACCCCCTTCAGGCGCGCAAACTGGTGGGTGTGGGATGTGGGGGGAAGGTGTGTGAAGGGTGGGGTGGGGTGGGGTGGAAAGTCGGTGGGGGGGAGTTTTTGCTGATGGGGGGGGAAGAGGGAGAGGAAGGGATGGAAGGGAAGGGAAGGGAAGGGGAATTACATTAGCAACAAGTGAAGGCGTCAACTGTCGACGTCCTTGACTTGGGCCTTGCTTTGGACTTCCCCGCCAATAGGCACTTTGCATGTCGGCAGGTGATTCATAATTTTTTGCTTGGTGGTTCCTCCTGCCCTTGGACAAGTCCCATTTTTGTCCACCAACGCCTTTTTTGCGTTCAATTGTCTTTTCCTCCTTTTCAGGAAAGGCCCCCGCCCTCCAACCTCCTCCCCTGCCCCCTAAACGCTTGCCCTGGCAGCGGTTTCACTCGTTCGTGGTTCATCTTCCCCCCCCCCCTCAAACTCCCTGGACTATCCGTCTATTTCTGGTATCTGCTTCACTCGCCAGTGGTTTGTCTTACCCCCCTTTCCCCCCCTTCCAGTCCATTTCTGATTTTTCGCATGTGATTCCCCCCCTCCCTCCTCGTCCTCCTCCGCGGCAACTCCCTCCCCCCCTCCCTCCCTCCCAAACAGGTGGGTGTCCTCACTGCGCTGACCCACTACCAGATGGCGGTGGAGCAGCGAACTGAGTTCTACCAGCTGCTGTCGGGAGGGGCTCAGGTGGGGCACGTGGGGAGCGGGCCGGAGAGGGGAGGGGGGAAAGACGAACCACAAATGAGTGAAGCTGCTGCCAGGGGAAGGGGGGGGGGAAGACGAACCACACACGATTGAAGCTGCTGCCAGGGCAAGGGAGTATCAAACGTAGGACTGACCGAAAGGCGTCCGTGGGGGGGATCAGAATGCTCTCTTGTGTTCGAGTTGAGAGTCGGGAGTCATGGAGGCCGTGAACCTAAGAGACGTGCGGAGGCGCTCCCAGGGAAAGGAGGATGGCCGCCCATATCATTGTCACTACAACAACAACCCAGAACACCCAGGACCACCACTAGTACTACCGGATGAATGTCTCAGCAGTTTTTCGGCCGCTTCGGCCTCCTTGAACAAATTACCTTTGCAGATTAATACACGTACACACACGCATTTCCCACGCGGCTCAGTTCATTAAAACACACACACACGCACACATTTTGTGTTAAGATACGCATACGCATACATGCACCCATGCATGTTCACCCTGTCTGGAGCCATTTCTACACGCCGCCCCTCTCTTCCTTGGCATGAATGCATACATGCATACATATATACATACATACATGCATACACACATGCACGCATGCATGCATAGACACACACGGCTCATTTTCGATCCGCGACTCAGATATGCACGCGCATTTACGAACCGCATGTGTTGCTCTTGGTTGTGATGAAATGACCGACATATGGCGTAATGATAACGCAGGGCTCCGAGAACAAGGCAGGAAATGGTGGTGATGGCGATACGGAGGCGGAGGAGAGCGATGGCGCCTCTGGAGCCAAGCCGTTGCTGTGGGCAGCTAAGGTGGGATGAGGAAAGGAGGGAGGAAGGGAGAGAGGGAGGAAGGGGGTTTGGGCCGGCATCGCGTGGTGGCAATGGGAATCGTATGAGGATGCAAGATGATGGTAATATAGACTGGCGGTGGGTATCAATATCATACAAGCATCTCCCATAAATGCTGTGGCTCCCTGACGTATCGACTCGGGATCCTTAAGAATTTGTCCTCGCCCATACACCCATATTGCCGTACACCCATGTTTGTGCTGTCTGTACGGCAGGTTCTTGCGGAGCCTGTTGCGGCGAAGCTCCGTGCCCACTTCCAACCCGGTAGGGCGCCCAGGGCAAAGGACGGGAGGGGAGGGAGGGAAGGGAGAAGTGGTGGGCTTCGGGGAAAGGAGCTCAGGCTGTTTGGGGGGAGGGGGAAACGTGGAAGTGGCCAAGTGCTTCTTCTTCTTCTTCTTCTTGGATTGTTGCGACCAATAGTTACAAGTCCCGCACGAATGGGGGATTGTCCGTCAAAGCCCGTCAAAGGCCATGGACTCTATATATATACATATATAGTGTTTAGGAACTTACCATGTACCAATCATAGGTACTGTACCTCCAATTATATAAGTGTTGGATATATATATATACTTATATACATATTATATATGTATAATTACATATCCACACCCTTAACACTTTTGTTGCTTTGGGTGTCGGCAGCTGTTCCTTGGACTCTTGCGTACACCCCCCCCTTCCCTACACAAATCCACATGCAAAGACATCCGCACATACATGTACACACATCGCACAAACAGGGAGGAAGAACCACCATCGGCAATCTCCGTATCGCGGCTCAAAAATCAATTGAAACACCACAGAGAGGGGAATTACTTGGGGAGCACCTGACTCTTAGCTTAGTGGCGTAGTCGGGGGCGTTGAAGCTCTCCCCTGCGGTCCGCTGCCCCGGGATGCTCTACATGATGGTGGGATGGTGGGATGAATGCTTCTTCCACGGCCACGGCTCCACATCCAACACACCTTGACCTCGCGATGCACTCCCCACGCCGCGCAGCCGCTCCCACGGGACGCTTGGACAGGCCGGCATGGTTGTACTGCACTGTTTTGGAGTTTGTACGGCAGCACGGCCACGCGCTGGCCTCCCTTGACGACATGTTGGCGTGTCTGCAGCTCAAACCACACTACAACATGCCTGCGGAGTTTGCGAGGTGGGGCTTGCGGTTTGGGATTGGGAGGGTTGTTGGGTTGGTTGTTGGGTTGGTTGGTTGGTTGGTTGGTTGGTTGGGAAGCGGAGGTTAGGTGGGGATGCGTGGCTTGGGTGCGTGACATGGGATGGGAATTTGGCTGATTCTCGCGGATATGTGTACCAGTCTCCCCCTCCTACCGCTTCACCCTCCTTCCCCTCTCTTTCCCTTGGCAGCAGCTTCACTCGTTCGTGGTTTGTCTTTCCCCCATCTTTCCCTTCGTTTCCTTCCTCCCTCCCTTCCTCATTCCCTTGATTACTTCTTTGCTTTTGGATATGGACCCACCCTTACATTCCGCGTTCTCCGTGGCTTTTTCAGGGCCATGCAGGATGCCGTACTGGCCTTGCTCCGAGACCTCCGTATTCCTGCCCTTCTTGAACTCCGAAACCAAGGCAATGAGGAATTATCGGAAAATGGCAACGGCTTGGCGGCAGACGGGGATGCCAACGGTGCTGCTGCTGCTGAGGCGGAGGCTGACGCGCTGTTGCTGGGCCTTATGGACGCCTCTGCGGCGTACGACATGGCGATGCTACCGCTCCTGGGTGCGACGGGCTCGCGGGTGGAGGCGGATGCGGCGCGGGGAATGGCGATGCTGTCGGCTGCTGCTGCAGCCGGAGGAGCAGGTAAGCCGAGAATGGACATGGCAGGAAAAGGGAGGGGAGAGGAGGGGGGGAAATATATGCAAGAGGGGTGGGCCGTGGGGATAAGGGGTAAGAAAGCAAGGGCATGGGGGGCGGGAGTTATTCCACGGACGACCAGTCTTGTAGTGTAATAGTAGTAGCAGTAGTAGTGGGAGGGGGGGATGGGTCCGGAAAGTGAGGAGCTGGCCACTCGGGAAATGCAGATGGATGATTGGCTGAATGAATGGATGTAAACCAGGGACAAAAACTTCTGGATCGTCGTCCCAATATTTTACTCTCGTCCCGCCCTTACCCCACAGTTACCTCTCATCCAAACCCAACCCCACAGCTCCAGTCGTTACCCCACCCGTACCCGACCACCTACCCTTACCCCCGGAGCCAATCGGCAGTTGATTTCTTAGGCCTTTTTGCATTTTTTTCAGGTTTACACTTTTCCCTTTTTGCATTTCTTGCTTTTCTTGCTCGCTTTCTGCGTATGAGTTTTCCCCTACCCTCTCCCTGCTATCTCACCGCCCGAGCAGTGCTGCAGCGGAGACGCGCTTGCGATCAATTTGATCCCACTGCCGTCGGTACCGCCGACATGCACGCGAGGTACGTGGCCGTGGCCGCCGCGGGACCGGGGCCGGCGGCAGCGGCAGCGGCGGTGGCGGTGGCGGCGGCGGCGGCTACTAAGAAGGCGACACGTGGGGCGGTCCCGCCAGCGGCCCTGCCATCCCTGCTGCAGGCGTGGGCTGCGGCGGAGGGTGCAGCGGCGCTGCGGGCCGTTGAGGCGGTCGTGTACGACGAGTCGTCATTGGTGCCGGCAGAGGAGGTGTGTATGTGTCTTGTCTTTGAAAGACATGCTGTAAGACACGTCTTACGCATGTTTGTAGAGGTGTAAGGTTGTATCGTGTACGGCACAAACGCTTTCGATGTTGGGGGACCCGGACGGCCAACATTCTCCCGCAGGGCGTCCCGCAGCTCGCGGGTTTCAGGCCTCCCGTTCGAAGCCTCCCATCTTTCCCTCCTCCCTCTCCCCACTCCCCACATTTTCTCCCATTTCTGTTCCCTTCTCCTCCATCCTCCCACCTCCCTCCTCCAGCCGGCAGATCTGCTTACTCGCTGAAAGGGACTATGTCTCTTTGCATCTCCCGCTACTTTCTTTCCCTACCTTTCCGACCCATTCCGACCCTGCCCCTCATAGGCCTCCTCTCCATACCCCTCCGCTTCCCTCCTCTCCTCTCCTCTCCTCTCCTCTCCTCTCCTCTCCTCTCCTCTCCACTGCTCTCCACTGCTCTCTCCCTCTCCTCCTCGGCCTCGGTCTGGCGCGGCACTCCCGCCTTTCTAGCGCAGCAAAACTCTCTTCACCTCCCCATTGCCCTTAACGCTCCGGCACTTCGAAAGTCGTTTCTTTGACTTCTTCCTTCATGGCACAATGTCCTTTCCCCTCTCCGCGCTCTTTACCTTACTCTCTTTACCTTACTCTCCGCGCTCTTTACCTTACTCTCTGACCCAGGCAGCAGCACGAGCTCTGGGCGGCGGCTTCTCTTCCCTGGAGGATGAGCCGCTGTCCTCCGCACCCCCCACCAGCTTCAGCGCCGCCGCCTCGTCGAGTCTGCGAATGGGAGGTGGCCTTGGTGCCAGCAGCTTTACCGGCGGCAGCAGTAGCTTGATAGGGAGTGTAGCCCCTTGGCAACGAGACACCTGGCCGCCGGTACTGGCTCGGGAAGCTGCGGCGCTGCTGGATGGGCTGGTGGCCAGATCCAAGTACGTACATTCGTACAGTTGTACGGGAGTGCACGGGACAGCCTGACACCCGATAAGATGGGGACAGAGGGGAATATCACACACAAAAGGAACACGAGGCTGATTCAGCGTAGGGGTGCTCGTACTAGGAGGATTGTTGCGGGAGATCTGGGGAGGGGAAGGGCGAAGGGAAAAGGAGACGTGATGAGGGCTCGATGATTGGGTTTGCTGGTCGTACGTAAAAGAAAGGCATCGGTGTCATCGGTGGCTCTTAACCTTTTTGACGACCCTCGCTTCGCCTCCTGGACCAACACCGCCGCCGCCAGGTGGCTCTCCGCGAACCCTGTACAGCAACGGGAGTTCTTAGAGGCGGCCGCGAGCCCTATGCTGGCGCTGCTGCGGAAGCGGCTGAGTCGGCTGCTGGATCAGGCTGTTTCACGTGGGGAAGTGGTTTCGGAGGAGGGGCTGCCGAAGGTGGGCGTTTTTAGGGCGGGGCTTTTGGGGTGGCGAGACACGTGGGTTGGATTTGGGTGTAGGATTTGGGGTAGGCTTTTGTCAGCGGAGCATCTTCTGCAAGTCTTCTTCGAACGATCTTAACTATTGCTGCTCAAGTGCTGACGTGGGTGGCAGGGTGTGTGTGTGTGTTTAGTAGGTCTTCCGTCTACGACGCTTCGGTGTGTAGGTTAGGTTAGGGTGACGGCTGAGTGGCTATGGGCACATGAATAGGATACTTCCTCGACCCTTCTTTCCCTCTTCGCCACATCCTGTCGCACATTTCTCCTATCCAGCCCCACCACACTTCCACCAACACACGCCCACCACGCGCCCCACCCTGCGTTCACCAGGTGTGCGCTACCCTCTGTGCCGCACACTTCCTGTACGACCACCTACAATCGCTTCTATTAACCGACCTGGCGCCGCTCGTACAAGCTCTCCTCGCGGCGGCAGCGCCGCCGCCAGCTGCCGCCGCTGGGGAAGCCGCCAGCGGCGCCGCTACACCGCCGAGTGCTACTGCCGGCGTGCCCGCCGGCAAGCTTGGCGCTGGTGGCGGCGGCTTCTGGAGTGGCCTAATCGCCGTTGCGGCAGGCGGGGGTGGCGGCGGCGGCAGCGGCGGCGTGCCGGCGTCACCGGCACGGCTTGCGCTCCGTGACGGCGTGACAGCGCTGGCGGCGGGCGCTGGCGGAGGCGCCACCACCGCCGCTGCGGTGGCAGCGGCAGGTGGGGGTTCGCCGCCGCCGCCAGTGCTTGGCGAGCACGTGGGCTCGTTTTGTCGTCTTCATCGTGATGGCTGTCTGAAGGTGGCCAGGGAGCTGGCGCTGGGCTTTGGCAGGTGGGTGGGTGGCTGGGTGAGTGGAATATAGTTTGGTATTACACGTTACTTGTTTTTAGGGGGTGCGCTTAAAGGGACGCTATAAGGTTGATTGTGTGTTTGTTCAGCCCTAAGTATACCTAACATACATAATCTAAACCTTATCTGATTTGCTATAAGATTGAGAAAAAAATATGAGAACGGGAAAATTTAGAGTTTTTAGACTGAATTTTACCTTTTGGAGCATTGGAACACTCGTTCGAACGAACTCGATAGTCCAGCACCACAGAAACATGGCTGCAATATGCATCTCTGCAGCTGTGTGTATGTGCATACGGATGGGCGGTGTGGGAAGGGAGAGGGGCAGGGAGGGGTGCACGACCGCAGGCAGGGGGGTTACAGAGGGGAAAGTGCGTGTGCTTTCCTCCCACACGCACACATGTCCAGCACGACCACATCATCAGCATACCCTACTACAATGTGTATCGCGTCGTACGGTGTCGTACTGCACTGCAGGTGTTCAGTAGCGTATCGTCACGCAATTGAGGCCAACCCGCAGTTCCCCTTCACGCCGGAAAGCGACGCGGAGGAGGCGGAGGACGGTTTCGGCGGCGTTGACGGCAGCCTGACAGGTACTGCTACTGCTACTGCTGCTACAGCTGCTGCTGGCGGTGGCCGGGTGGCGTTGGCGGGCAATGGCCGCAGCTTCGACCAGTCTCGTCCTGCTTCGTCCATCACACCGTCCTTTGCCCCGGCGCTGCTTTATCTTCAGGTGGGTGGTTTGGTTAGTTGATTCTGGTGATTTCTGTTCGCTGTTGTTAGTTGAGTAAGAGGATAGCTGGTTGGTTTTGATTGCTTGTAACGCCTAATTGGTTGTGTCGCTAGTGGACCTCGTGTGCGTATGGGGGCCAGCATTACGTTCATCACTTTTTCTTTTCGGTCGGCAGCAGTCCAAATCAGGGAAATCCCCCGCCCCACTGGCTCCCCTCCATCACCTTTGACAAGTCAAGTTGACGCTTTATAATATATACTATCATGCTCCCGTCCACACTTCTCCAAACCTTTTTTACTTTTAGAAATTCTTTGCTTGATGTGCACTTTGAGTTGTTTGTTACCATTACTCCATCCCGCCGTCCCTCCTTTCGGTCAGTTCTACGTTTGTTACTCTCTTGCCCTGGCAGCAGCTTCAATCGTGTGTGGTTCGTCTTTCCCTCCTTTCCCGCCCCGGTTTTTGCCGGCCCTCAAAAAAAACATTTTTCCTACAGAGCTCCCTGGAGCGTCTCTCCCGCTGCTGTGACAAGGCCACCTTTTTTGACGTGTGGCGGGGGGCAGCGCTGTCCATCAACCGCTTCATGTTCAATTTCATCGCGACGGAGAGCCGCTTCACGCGAGCAGGTGGGTGGGGCGGATGCTGGCGGGGGTATAGCGCTACTGCTAAACGGGTTCTAGGTCCGCTGGTCACCTAACAAAAAACTGTCGTCGCACCCGGGATGTTCTTCCTACGGGCAGAAAGTACAGAAAGACCTCATAAAGAGCACGCGTTCAGGACCAGGGCGACCGGAAGCCCGACGAGTCATCCCGGGCTGGGGAGGTCACCAAGCTCCCCAAAAACCTCAAACAGAAAGAGAGCGCAAAGAGCTCAGACCGCAAGACGCCAAGCAGCCTCTCGAAACCACTTCTCACCCCCGCCTCTCCCTCCCTGGGCGAGTCCAGGGAAGGTTTCTCAACCGCAGAGGGGGTAGCACCGCACGTGTCCATGGGCCCCCTACATAGCGCTGGGGCCAATTCGAAAAGCGCACGAACAGGAAGATCCTGCCACGGCACCCGGCAACCAGGCCTCCGAAAATCGCAAGGGGGGAGGGTAGCCAGCTCGGCGGGGCCCCCTTACCGCGCTACCAAGGCCCTTACTCACCACGCCCCGCAACACGAGGACTCCGAGCTTGTACCTCGAGAGAACCCAGCAGCCCTGCAGCATGCACTAGCGTAAAAGTACGGCCCCTCCTGGGCACCAACCTCCCCCTCATCCGCGCCCTCACTACAGCCACCTGCCGACTCCTACCACTCCTCAACCCTACATCCTCTTGGTGCTCTCTTCACCTCTCCCCCCCTCCCCTCCCGGTCTCGCCCCACTCTTCCACCGGTCCCCCAGCCTTCTCAGAGGCCGCTGTCTCCCCGGCTCGCCGGCACAGCTCCCTCGGACCGATAAACCCCTCCCTCGCCGTCTCCTCCCGCCCTTCTTTGCGACAAAGCTCCGTCCCCTATCCCTACTCCCTCACTCCCGCCACCTTCCCCCTCACCCTCCCCCCTCGACCTCCCCTCGAGAAAACCCAAGCCCTGGTTCAACCCCGAGCCTCAATAACCCAATCCTCTTTTTTTTCCTCGAGAATTCCGCCCCCTGCCTCGTTTGCTCGGCTATGATCTCCACCGCCTCCGCGCAGCGCGTTACTCCCCCCACGATTGATAGGATGTGTTGGCTGGGTCCCACTCCGTCCCAGCCCCGCCTGGGGACGTTAAGCGCGGTGGATAATCGCAAGCGCGTCCAGAAATCCACCACTGCCCGCGTGAAAGCGTGTTCCAGAGGGGTTGCTGCTGCAGCTGCTGCTGCTGTTGCTGTCCCCGGGCCCCCGTTGGGCCCCTGCGTTTGATCCTCGAGTGCTGGCGCGTTCATGTTTGTATACATGTTTGTATGCATGTTTGTATACATGTTTGTATGCATGTTTGTATACATTTTTGTATGCATGTTTGTATACATGTTTGTATGCATGTTTATATGCGTGTTTATATGTACGTATGTGGTGTATTGCGATGTATCTTGCGGGGTTTTGAGGGGTAAGGTTCTGGTGGAGGGGACTGGGGTGGTGCGCTGTGCGGGAGAAGCATAAAAGCGGCACTAGGGGAAAACGTCTTTTTCGAAAACCCCTCAAAACCCCGTAACTGCCCGGCCACCCATCTCCAATCCGTAGTGGGATATTCGAATCAATCGGCTCCCCTCTCTTCCCGTCCCCAGGCGCCCGCCAGTTTGCCGCTGACGTGGCGGGGCTGGCACAGCTTTTCGCGCCGTACAGTCGCCGCGGCGGTGGCGGTGGCGGCGCAGCAACCCGCCCAGGATCCTTCACCAGTGTTACAGCCGCCGGTACCACTATTGGCGGCGGGGCCGCCGCCGGTAACCAGCATTTTCGTGAGCTTCAAGCTGCTGCTCGGTTGTTGTGTTTGGGTGATGAGGAGGCCGCAGATGTGATGCGCCGGGCGAGCGCGGCGGCGGTGGCAGCAGCGGCCGCCACCTCCGCCCTTAGCCCATACTCCCACTCGCCCCAAGCCCAGTCATCACCCCAGTCCCAAGTCCAGTCACCTCCACCACCCAAGGCCCAGCCTCCGTCACCTCACAGCCACACCCGCGGCGACCCGGTCCGCAGCGGCATGTCGTCCGACCCCATATTGAGCGCCGCTGGTTTGGCGTGTCTGTCTCCCCTGCAGATTATGAACGTCATCGAACACAGGTAGGGGGGGTGAGGGACATGGAGAAGGCTGAGGGAGGGGAGGGCGTGGTGAGGGGAGGAGAACTGTGGTGTGTAAAACCTTCGTCGCCCACATGCACCGTGATACCTTGCGCATGTACCCATGCCGCACGTTGCCATCCTCTCTACCACTACTGCTGCTACTGCTGCTATTGCTACTACTGCTACTACTGCTGCTCTTGTTGCTAATGTCCTTTTACTACTGCGCCTGCTGCTGCTGCTGCTGCTGTGTCGCCAACGTTACTACTGCAACTACTGCTCTGCCTGCTACAGGATATGAGGCGGCAAGTGAAAAGATTTTGGACGAGGAGGGGTTGACAGCAGTGGTGGTGATGGTGATGAGGTGGCTTTAGCTCGGGGCCACTGTGTGCAGGCGATATGACATGACACGACGTGCTGGGTGGTAATCCTGCTCGCGGATTATTGTGGGGGTTCATTGCGGGGATTATGGCAGGTGAATTGCGGACAACCGCAATGTCGTAGAGCAAGAGGCGTTGGCAGCGCGTGCATGACGAGCAATCCTCCGTTCTCGGCGCGCCATATTGATTGGGAAGGTCGTCATATATATATATATATGTGTGTGTTTGTGTTTGTGTTTGTGTTTGTGTGTGTGTGTGTGTGTGTGTGTGTGCGTGTGTGTGTGTGTGTGTGTGGAAGGAGGGCGGGACGCCAGGGGGAGAGTGGGTGTGGAGTTATATGCAAGAAGTGAAGAGTGAACTGGCGACGTTGTGAAGGGGGTTGGTGTGACGAGGGGCAGGGTGGGTGTGGATGGGATGTGCTCTGATGGAATGGCCAAGACAACGCTCTCCCTCCCTCTCTCGCCCCTGATGCCCGTCTTCATCCGGCGGGAGCTGTGATGACGACATTGGTGGGTGGAGGGGGCTGTAGGGCTTCTTTCTTCAAGGCGTCTCATGCAGGCAGTCTAGATATGGAAAGTATGGTTTCTGTCTCTACGTTTGTGTGTGTGTATTATTGTCGGGTTTGGGGGCGACGCCCCGGGCGCGAAGCGTCGTTCGGGAGACCGATGCCCCCGATGTTCAATGCTGTCAGTCAGTCAGCGTCCTGTCTGATGATGAACTCGCATGCCAGGCTTACGTGAGAATGGTATTAAACCTGCTACATTTCTCTATCGATTCACCGAAGGAGTTATCACATAAATCTGTGCGCGAAGATAGCTTCCCGCTGGCCATGGCTTTGACTTTCCCCCACCTCTCGCGGCATCGCACCGCTTAACTGAGGATTGCATACGTTGGTGCTGGGTAACAGTTGTTGGTGCTGGGTAACAGTGTTTCGTTATTGCCTCTTTCCAAGTATATTTTCCTGCTGTGAGGAAAAACTACGAGTACCTAATTATAAGGTCGGGCAGAAGCTAAAGGATTGCATTTATAAGCTACTGCAATTCTCCGTCGATCACCGAAGAATTAATTCCCATACAGATGTCAGGCCAGAGGGTTGCAAAGAGGTTGGTCAGGCATTGCAGACACAGCTCTGGACGCCGGTCCCGTACCCACGCATCAAACTCAACTTCCAGGTAGGCCTGTAGGCGGGCTGTTGAGCCCGCGCCACCTCGGGTAGCCGAAGTTAAAGTACGACCGCTGCCAGTTGGCATGCCGCCTACTCAGCATTTCCTACGAGCACCCCCCTGGGGTTGTGGATTGGGTGGTTGATATCAGGGTCGTCGATCCCGTCATCAGATGGTAGCAGCCCGTTGTTGTCAATCTGTACAACTGCTCCAGCAAGACTGCACATCTCCTGACAAGACTGCCCACGTAAATTTCTAGATGATAGAATTTTGAAATTTGTTTAATTATAACATACGATGTATAGAGGTAAATTCAAAACCCGGACCAAGATCCAATGGGATCCCTATTAGGATCCCTTGGCCATGCATACGCGACGCGGCCCAGAAACAGTCTTAATGAAGAGCGACATAACATTTAAAAAATATAAAATTTTGTGGTTGGAACTTGCTATATATGGGAAATACGTTAGAAAACCTTGTTCACCACGTTCGCGCGGATATTTGCATCCTGGATAAAGCAACTAGAAGTACAGAGGCTGGTTTTCAAAGACTCGGCGGTTATGTTGCTCCTCTGCACTTGTCTATGGAGATCATTCTGACTATCCCTTGCTTGTCACCAGCCGGTAACCTAACCTCGCTTCGCTAACGACCCCAATAACTGGGGGATCGCCAACCGATAAGGTTATCGGTTGGTAAGGTAACCGACGGGTAACATTACCGGTCGGTTACCGGGTCGTTATCTTGAAATGTCGGTTACCCTACCGAAGCGACCTTTCATAGCTAATCTGCCATGGGGTGTGGCGTGTGTGCACGCAGCGGGGCACGCTGCTTCTGCTCATGCTGCTTTGATTGCTGTGCGGCCGCACGGTGTTCTCGTTGTTTCCTTGGACTTCCTTGGTACAGCTATGGCTCAGCTCCGCCACACTCCCCAACTCCAGCCCATCCATGCCAACTGATCCAGCACTTCCATCCTTGTCTCACGCACATCTTATACATGTCCTATTCTCCATTTCGACTGGCAATGGGCTGTGTTCGCGCACTACCAGGAACTCATACTCAGCCGTTCTTGTTGAGGTGGAGGCGGCGTGCGATGCACATCCATGGATTCGCATAGGCGCCTTAGCAGCAAGTGTATACACCACACATTCATACATCACCACTCCAACGCCGCCAGCCGTCGCCTGGCCCTCGCAGCTATCCATAAGAGTGAGCGCATAGGCCAAACACGACACCGTTCCTTCACTTGCAGCCCAGTGCCATACAGGGCCCCCCCCGGGGCGACTGGCCGCACAAGGGCCGAAGCCTTTAGGCTTCGAAGAAGCTGATTACCTTAGTCGTACCAGAACCCAATGGAGGCGAGCCTCCCCCTCCTCAACATGTGGAGGGCCGCTTTGGCGACAGTTAATCTCAGTACAAAACCACAGTATGAATATGACCTCCGTGCGAGTGCGCCGTCGCATGTGCGCATTCTGTCTCATGCATGATACCTCAACTGATCGCCAACCGCCAAACCATTCCTGGTGCTCGGGTTTTGTAAATCTCACACTTTGTCCCACACGGGTCCACCATGTGGTTCATTGACAGGGGAAAGGTTGGATTAGCACGGCATTCACGTTTGCGATATAAGGGAGACATCGGGTCACATCGGATTTGCAAATGGTAGTATCAGATTTGCAAATGGTCGGCCAAGTGCTGCAGCAAGGCTCTAAGCCGGCTGTCACCTAAACGGCTACTAGCACGCGTGGTTACAGCTGGTTAAACCTGGGAAACCTCGGTTAACAGGGTTCACAAGGTCATGGATGCGCTGCAAGATTACTACCTTTTTGGGCGAGGCCCCAGCGTGAAGCGCCCAGGGGGGCCCCGACCTGTAGGATTGCCCATGTCCGTGTGTGTGTGTGTGTGTGTGTGTGTGTTCGTGTGTGTGTGTGTGTTCGTGTGTGTGTGTTCGTGTGTTTGTAACGGACCAAACATAATATCTCGCACGGCTGAAACGCGTTATCGGTACTATAGAGCATTCTCTATTGCAAGGTATCTCACATGTAGCTAACAAAGGCCGTATGAGCACAAACAAGTTTAGCTGCCTCCATTCACCGACCTCAAAAGTCACATCAACGCCTCTCGCGCTAAATTTCTTCCCGAAAGCTGCCGCGTATCTCATGATGGAATTCTGAGATGACGGCGTATGATAACTCAAACACCCAGCTTGTGTTACCATTTGCCGGCATGGGCAATCCGACTTGCCACCAGCAGGCCAACATAATTTGCTTTCATTTCTGTATAAAATACACAAGCTGCTTGTCTGTACATTTACTTTGGCCAATGCACGGGGCCTCCGGAGACTTCCGGTGTGCCCCGATGAAGCCTGCGGCTGTGGGGCGGATTGCTGAGGCCGCTGGCGCTTCGGGGATAAACATCACAGACAGCACCGAAATTCACCCAGCTTTTGATACCATTTGCCCGCACGGGCATTCCGGCTTGCGGTCTGCCGCACTGTCCATGCGGCATGCACCCGGGATTGATGCGATTCGCGTGGAGCCCGCAGGCGGTGCTGATGATTCCGCCAGTGCAAGCTTAGCTCTCACACCATCAGCACTGCTGCAACAAAGCACATCTCCCACCGCGTTGACACTACCCATCAATTGTCACACGTGCCGCGCTAGCTACCGGCCTGTACGGATGCAGGGGGGGCCCGCCCTTTTTCCGGCTTCGAGGAAGCCGACACCCGACTTGTTTCATAGCGGGCCGCTGGGATTTCCCCAGGCACCAAGCAGCACCTCGTATCCAAGGTCCATTTGCACACGCATGAGCCTGACCGCCCGGAAGCCTGGAGATAAGAGGCGGCGCTCGTGGTGAGACAGCTCTTGGTGAGCTGGCGAGGCAGCGGCTGGGTGCACAGGCTACTGACGGCCGCCTTCCCGACATGCGAGGTGCATTTGGCAGGATAGCACGTGCAGGGTCAGGCAGGGCACCACAAGCAGCACCCGCAGAGTACCTTGCACTTAAGAGTACTGAGCAGGTCAGCAGGTGATGCCAAACAGTGCGTTTCCGCTTAACATCCTGAGATAAATTCGCGAATGATGACTGTTAGTGCTGATTGTTTGCGAGCTCGCGATGACAGTAATATCGCGCTAAAGGAAAAATGCAGGATTGTCACGTGCGTCATCTGGGCGGCTCTGTGCCGTTTGCTCTTCTCGACATTAGTTGTTGCTCCATAGGTAAATGCCATTTTTTTAAATGCCATTTTCTGTTACAAATAATGAAAGAGAGAAAAGGACTGAGAGGCCCGAAGAAGACGGGCCTTACGAACGGAGAAAGAGACACCGCAACTGAACTAACGCGAGGCTGCGCCATAAACGGGCGGGCGGGCGGGCGCGCGCTGAACAACAAAAACAAGATAAGCTAATCAGCTTAATGCGCGCAATAAATGACGGCCCTGAGGACACGGGCCGTTGCGAAACAGTTAGTCTAACAGTTACGCATTGGGCCTTACGCCCAACTAACCCAGCTTACTTAACGCAAGCTCGCATTAGTTGTTGCTCCATAGGTAAATGCCAAAGGAGAAGATACCCCCTCTAGCGGAAATAACAAACAAACTGATCACCAAAACAGCGCAACGCGACGGGCCGCTAGAGGGACAAAGGACGCGAGAGCTGCCAGACAGGTACACACACCGACACGAAATAAAGCTCCCCAAGCAAAACGCCTCAACGACCTCCAAACGAAACTCCAGCAGCAAGGACGGCGGACACGCCATCTCTACACAGGCAAAAGAGCGAACAAACAGAACGCTGCCAAAACCACAAGGACGAGGTCAAACCAGCGCTCTCCAACCGCGCACAGACTGACCCACCGGCCACAAACGCGACGGATCCCTCAACAAACGCGGACGGACGCCCACTGAAGGAAGGGACGATAGACACGCGAGAATGCCAAACATGTGCCCGCTAAGGGTTGACTAAACGGCCAACTAGGGCTTGAACTGAAAACCGGCTCTGCAATAACGACCGCTCCACGCGCCCAGGGCACTGACAGCAGGGATACGGATGACGAAACCCAGCACGACAAACAGCAAGGTCGGGGCCACCTCCGAACCAACAGGTACAACGGCCAACTGCTCAAAGAATCCACACAGCACCTGCAATAAAGGTCAACACAAAGAGAGTCTGACAGAGCCACGGAGTGCTGCAAATGCAACCAACTACTATACAAAACGCCGCCAGCAGGGGCTGTCTCCAGCACAGGGCGCTCTTGGTTAACCTAGCAAGACAGACACGGAGCTCACGGAGTTCGCGGCACTGAAAATAAGGCTGAGCAGCACGGGCTTGGATAAAACTCTTGGCAGCTAAGAACTGAACCCACAGGAGCCCGACATAAACGGAGTCATAAAGAGCCCCAGCCTACCGCGACACAGAAAACGCACAAACACAGCGACGCAAAACTGCCAGGTCTTAGCACCAACCCTGGGACAAGGTAACCTGGCAACCGGCAAAGACATGCGGAATGGACCAACCCTAGGCCGGCGAGCGACAGCTGCGATACCAACAGGTTATCAAAGACCGGGGATGTCGCAACGGATTGCAGATCCAGCGAGAAACCGGGACCTATTCCGCGCCAAAGGTACTACTCAAACTTAGTCCCAGAACCAGCGGGGTTGGAACCAGCGGTACCACCGGATACTAAGCAAGTGAAAACGCTCCGAAAACACGAGAAACCAAACGCAGGTTAACACAAGGCGACGCAAAAACCAACTACCTGCGCGGTGCCTAAGGAGCGCACACACGACAAATCCCTACCTATTCGCTCCACATAACTGCATAACTGCTCCCCTGGCGCAAAGCAACTACGGCGTTCCCTCAAAGATGGTCCCACTGCCCTTATAACAAATAA